AGGCGGGGGGGCGGGGGGAGGCTGTACAATTTAACAATGCTGCATTGAGAGAGACAGTATCTGATATCACAGAAATGACCCTCTCCTTGCCCCCTCATTCTTGTCTTTTAGAGCTAGGGGGATATTCTGCTGCTGCTTGCAGCAGGGGTAAAAAAACATGGAGCTGTGGCTTTGGAAGAACATTTCAGATCAAGTGAAAGGCACTTTTGACCTTGGCATAAGAGGTGTACCAAAAGTGCTGGTGTTCAAGGAAAAGAAAAACATAAACAGAGAAGCCCCCCCATGTCTGACAGTGAGGTAAAACACTCACAAGGGGGATTTTTCACCCAGTTGACCAACATGCCTTTGAAAAGAGCCAGAGAGTTAATGTTCCCTGTGCAGAAAATATCATGTTGTAAGCAAAGACTTTTTGGAACCCTGCTTAATTTGATGAACAATGTTTTAGTGGAGTCCAATTACTAATACTCTCAGTGTATCCAAATATATTTGGATAGCTGTGAAACTGAAAAAGCAGAAGTGTTTGATAAATATTTCCTGCCTGTATTTGGGACAAAGTTGAATGCCATTTCCACATTATATAATGATGATGAAACGCTTCCTATTCAAGCAACTTAAAAAAGAACATCAAACAGCACAGCTAACATTTTAAAAGCAGCCGGTCTAGAGGACTTGCGTGTTGGCATTTTAAGAACTAGTTCTTCAGATGACTGTTCTCACATAAGGTGGGAATGTGAGAGTTTAGAAACAGCCCGGGAGATCATTTCTAGGAAGAAAAACAGTGTTGTGTCAATATTTGAAAAGTGTGACTGAGGTAAGCCCACGTAATTTCAGACTGGCTAGTCCAACATCGCTCCTGACCTAGTGTAATGAAGTGGTTTGTACCAATTAATAAGGAGGTGGAGAGTGGGGATGTAATGAAACAGCGATCAGCAGTTTTCATGGGAAAAGGTTCCTGTCAAAGAACAAATTTCATCTTGTTCTTTAATAAAATCACGGGTACGGCTGATAGCAGTAACTGTTGACTCAGTGCTGCACAGTATTCAGATTTGAGAAAAAAAAATATACAAAATCAATATGGGTGCATAATAAATGGCTTAAAAATAGCTAATGGAAAGATCTTAAAACGGCTTTGTTATAAAGGATTCATCAATCAGTAAAGACTATTTCTAATGGACTCTTGCAAGCACTTGCACTTGTGCTATTCATTGTATTGTATTTAGAATCTACAAGAAAATACAAGATGATTGCATTATTTGTGAACTGTGAGAGAGAGTTTCAAAACTGACTACACTGTTTAAAACTGGACTAATGGGAGTAGCTTGTCTTGCAAACAAAGACTGCTGGGATGAGGATAATTAGGCAAACTTGGTAAAATGAGTTTAGTTAAGGGAAGCCTTAGGACAGGCAAATGCAAAGTCCTACACTTAGGAACAAATATCCAGCACAGTGCAGGGTCATATAGACATAATCTCTAAATGCAGAGGTGCCTCTTGCTTAGTCCATACCCTAGAAAGCAGCAGAGCCTACTGTGGAAAACTGTACTTCAGGGACATTTGTAGTGAGCTAACTGCAGCGCAATGCTGTGGCCGCTAGAGCTAACAGCAGCCTTGGGCAAATGAATAGGATAAATAGGAGGCATTTCTGGGTTTCATTTTTGGTGAAGCTGCTGCAGAAATTCAGAGTCCATTTCTTGTGTGCACATTTTTTCTTAATGGATGTGGATATTCTTAAAAGGAATGTTAAATACTGGAGGATATTCAGAGATGATTTGCAGTGCATTATACTTTCAATTACACACATACTCCCTACCTTCACGGTACCTCTTTTTCTCTTGGACAAAGGGAGGTCCTTGGGAGCTCCTCATGCTACCTCCTTACCTTTTTTCCAGGAGATTCCCAACTGCATTAACTCTGCAGAAAGGAAACATGTATACTCCTACATGGCTATAGAAGTCTTCTGTGAAGAAGGTCTCATGATAGAAGGATCACAGCATCCACTGCTCTTAGTCTGCACAGAAATTCACAGTGCTACATAGATGACATTTCAAAATAAATCTAACTTTGCTTTAAAACTTCCATATAGACACTTACATTCTTCCACATTTATTCCACTGTAAGGAAACTTTCCTCCTCTGATGCTAAATGAAGTTTATACATTTGGTCTTATTTTTTATTTCATGTAACTCTATGATGGAACTTGAGTCCTGTGTCATGCCAGAAACTTTCAAGCTACTCCACACCTGTGAGCTCAGAGCTGCTAACAGTAAAAAGGGGAAAACACTCCTTTTTTGAGCTCAAATGAGAGAGGTCTGGGGTCTCAGTTTCATTCATACCAGCCTACCCCAGCAAAGACCTTCCTCACAAAATCAAAGTGAAAGCCATTGGGACTCTTTTGGTAGGGGCTCCAGGCTCTGGAGTTCCCTTCACTTTGCCTTTAATAAACCAGTTTTCAGGCCATGTGTCTCCATAGGTCTCCAGGATGGCTGTAATAAGAACGGTCACATTGCAACTCTTCGTGCTGTGGTTCAGCTTGATGATGATGTACCATTAGTACTCAGTCTTTCTGCCTATTGTCTACAGAGAGACTGTGCACAAGAATGTAGCGTCTGCATATGGAGAGCAGACATACACCCACAGAAAGGCACATCAAGAAATAAATCAAATCATCTGAAAGAATATATTAAAAAGGTAAAGAACATTTAAAGTGCCTCTTGTTCATTTGGACAATCTTTCCCTGATCTCAGACAAGGAGCAGAAAGAGGGAGGATTTGAGTAGGATGACATGAAGAAGGGTGAAACACTTGTTGGATGAGAAAAGATGGTGAAATCCCCCTGGCTTTGACGGAAATGAGGATAAAAAGTGAGAATCCTACAACCCACGTCTTCCAAGCAGTCTACAAGGTAAGTAACATTCTTCCCCACTATGGAGAAAAATCTGGGACAGGCTTCACAGAGAGATTACCTTGTGGAGTTCATTAGAATTGCAAAAGAGAAGTTAGACAGATCTTGTCCCTGTTGCTAGAGCAATGTGGTCAAACACCCTTAGCACAGCCTCCTCCCATGACTTCTTGCTTGTACCTTGTTTCTCTCCTCTCTTTTTCCTCTCTTTCTCCTTTTGAAAAAGCAGAATGAGCATGCAAAAGCTCCTGTGGTGGGGACTCATGAATGCTAACAAAATTCTTGGAGCTTTTAGGATTGAAAAGTGTTGCTGATGCATTTGAGGATCTGTGAGCAGTCTTTCAGCATGATGTTAATGACTCAGGGAAACAACACACCAGCAGTGAACATTTTTAAAAGCTTCACTTACCCTTCCAGCCTGAACTTAATCTGGCCTCTCTCTGTGTTTTAACACACTCCATTAACAGGATTCCCTGGCTGAAAGTGGATGTAGGAGGTAGGGCACAATCCTATTTTTGGACATACAATGCTGTGCAATACACAGAAGTCCTTTTGTTGCTGGAGACTGTAGGATGGAGACAAGCAGAATGTGTAGGAAATGGGGGAATCAGCGAACACATGCACTGTACCCTGGGGTTTTTTTCACAGCTGACAGCAGGGCTGTGAGAGGGGTTTTGCTGTAAATCAAGAAGGAGAATGACACACAGACATTTAGGGGTGGGGGCACACAAATGTATATGACACTCAATCAACTACTTTCCTTCTTGCATTCCGACTGCACACACACACACCCCCTCTAGCTGCTTCTTTTAGGAGGGGTAAAACCCAGGCATCCCCTGCAGGCCATCACAGGCAGTCGGATGTTTAGAGTAATTCACATTCAGAGGTGATATCCAGTTGTCTCCTCTTCCCCTGTTCTCCTCTTAGGAAAAAGTGTGTGTGTGTGTATGAAGGTTGAGCTGGGGGTACAGTCTGCGCACAGCCACATCCCCCCATGAGGCTGCAGGGTGTACAGGGCTTGAGGCTGCAGACCAGCACCCTGACCTGCTGGCTGTGACGTGTATGAGTAGGGCAGCGGGGACATTGTACACACAGATGCGACAAAGGTGCAGGTATCGGCTCCCTCGCCCTTCAAGGTGTAACTGAGATAGGAGTATCACTCACATACCCTCTCACCACCTCCTTCCTCCTGGGCATGTTGTGAAAAGGGGGTGTCTCATAAACAGGTGACGCCACCCCAGTAAGTCAGGGTGTGTTTCTGGGAGCCTCTCTCTTTCCCACACACACAACAACCCTCAACCCATGAGAAAGGATTGGGGGGGGAACTGGCACCGCAGAGGTGATCTGTCACTGCCCCTCACTCGGCTGTAGGGTATGTGTTGGGAGGGAGAGTTGTCTCACACCGGTGTAAAACCCAGGCACCCTCCCTCATCCTTTTTCCTCCTACAGGCTGCCATGTGTTTTGTCACACAGATATGCATCTCACCACCCCCTCCTGATTACGGGGTGTGTATTGGGGATGGAGGTGTCTGTTTCTCACTCACACACATGAACAAGCACAGGTGAACCACAACCTCTCTGATTTTGGGGTGCATAGCTAGAGTTTGGAGGAGCAGGGTCCCTCTCGCACAAGGGTGACTCCAGGTTGTTGACCCCCTGTCAGTTTGCAGACTGTGTATTTGGAGTATGCCTGTGTCACACACACCCCTACACGACTGAGAAATGCCTGGTTGAAGGGAAAAGGGGTGTCACACCAACAAGCAGAGGTCAAACCTGACACCTCTCCCTGCCAAGCTGTGGGGTGTTGAGCTGGGGGAGGACATCTCATGCACAGTGTCACCCTGTGCATCATTGTCAACTGCTAAGCTGTAGGGTTTCCTTGGGGTGAGGGGTAGGGTTGCATGCACACAGGAGGGATCCCTGTTGCACTCTAGTAGTCGCAGGGTGTGACAGAGATGAACAGTTTACCTCCCTGTTAGGTGCTGGGGTGTGTGTTGAAGTGTCCACTTCCCCCCCCTCCCCGCACATGAACCCCAGTACATCCTGGCACACTGCAGGGTGTTGGTTGAGGTTGTTTCTCTTGTATACATGTGTACCCCACTCGCCCTACTAAGTTACCAGGTGTGTGTTGAGCCTGACACCCACCCACGCTGACAGGTCAAACCTCAGTTACCCCTCGGCAGGCTGTAGGGAGCGGCACACACGCACACACAGACCAACACCAACACTCTGATGAGTGCTGGAGGTGTCTCACACACAGACACCAATCCCCCGTGGGGCTGCAGGGCGTGCGTTCTCTCACACACGCATACGCAAGGGTGCAAGATGTGATTTAAGAGCGTGTCACCCCCACGGGGCCACGGTTTGTTTCTTGGGGGTGTTGGCCACGCTCACAGAGGGTTGTTTAAGGACCGCCTGCCACAAACACACCAAGCCGTGGTTTGTGTTTTGGGGGTGCCCATCACTCACACGCTGGGCTGTAGGGTATGTTTCAGGGTGTCTCGTCCACCTGTGAGGCCACAGGTTGGGCTTTAGGGTGTCTCACACATGCTGTGCCTCAGGTTGTGCTTTAGTGTGCCGGTGTGCGTGTCAGGGTGCCTCACCCACACGGAGGGCGCAGGCCGTGTTGGCGGGCATCGCTCACGTCCACGAGGCAGCAGGCTGGATTTTAGGGGTCACCCGCACACGGGTTGTCGTTCAAGGTGTCTGACACGCACGGAGCCAGGGCTGTGTTTGAGGGCGTCTCACGCACGCAGGCGGGCCAGCAGGCTGTGTTCGAGGGGGTCTCGCACACAGAGCTGGGGTTGTTGGATGTGTACGAGGGTGTCTGACACACACACGAGGAGCCGGGCTGTGTCTGAGGGTGTCTCTCTCACACACCCGAGGCGGCAGGCTGTGTCTGAGGGTGTCTCTCACACACACCCGAGGCTGCAGGCTGTGTCTGAGGGTGTCTCTCTCACCCACCCGAGGCTGCAGGCTGTGTCTGAGGGTGTCTCTCACAGCCACCCGAGGCGGCA